TGCCAGATCAGGTCCTCGGTGACCTGAACTCCGACCAGCCGAAATCAATGGCTCCGGGAAATTTGGCAATTCCATATTGCCGAACCATTTCCATTACAGAACCCGTACATAAATATGATATCGGCGTACTCATCTTTGCTAAATTTTATTTCACAACACTCAAAAATGGGAAAAAGGAACTTTTGACTTGAATTTTACAAAAAAAATGGTAGTACTAACGAGAGCAATCGTATAACAGCTCTGTGTTTACACTAAAAAGTGAAAAATAAATAAAAAAGCATGTTCAAAAACAAGCTAAATATCTGTTAAAGAACATTACTAGAAATATTTTCTTTATATTGATTTATACCTCTTAGCTTTTAAACAGTAGCGAAGCTCCTTCGTCTTAGGTCATCAAATAAAAGCAAGTTACACCATTTATCCCTCTTGATGTTGACAGGTTTTTATTTTAAAACCTGAAATGGACCAGACTCAATATTGTTTAAAGGTTAAGAAGACGGCATATTCCCAATCGAAAAAACTAAATTCGTTTTAAAAGCTTAATAAAAGTTTGTTTTCAAAACTGTACTTTTTATTTTCTCTATTCGAAAACAACGATCATTACAGATTTCATTTAATACAAGTTAATGAAACGTCATAATGTATATTCTATACAACGTCTTCGAGCGAAAACGTAAATGAACCATCAGATCCTGCAGTTTTCTGGAGCCAGTAAGCCACAACTTAGCGTTGTCTTAAAAATGAACATAACCCGGGTCACTGCTTAAAAGTCACTTGATCTGGTCTGTCAGATTTTGCTCGTTCCTTGTTTTTCAGTTTTGACTTATTTTTCGCAACGTATCTCATATGTGACGCCACCAATTGAAACCTATAATGGTTTTGTTTTATTTTAAATCTTCGTCACAGCCGGCAACTAGTCCATGTTTTGAATTCCCTCATTTCTCTTAATACCTTAAAACGGAAGTATAAATTAATTATTCTTTCTACCTCGGATGTTTAGTCACGGTGCTAATCTAACTAGAAAAATAAAGGGCAGTAGAGTTTCCATTACGGTGGAGGATTATAGCACTTTATATAATTTTTAATTATCTCTATGTTAAGGTTTTGTACGGAGCGAAAGATGAAAAGAAAGCATGGCTGGAGTTACTTAGGGGCTATAAGTAGCAACGTTGCTATTTAGTGTTGCGCTTCAATAGAACATGAGGCCTCATCGCTTTTTCATGTTTTCAACCATCCTCTGTCAATGTTTTTTAATTAGCTGCTTTTTTAGGTAGTGGTGAAACTAGGGCTTTCACAAGATTTTTTAACCCTTATACTACGTTTTTGAACAACGTTTTGTGGGATTAGAATTTTCTTAGATTGAGTTGGTGAGAGTGAGACGATAGTGCGATGAACTTGACAAACTCCCATGTTAGATCAGCACACGTAGCCCTCGTTGAAAGACCGAGAAGAATAAGTTATGAGTAGGTTTTGGTGACGTCGCAATGTCATTCAAAATAAGTATTGTTTTTTCGCATTTTTTGGTGGGTGACAGGAAAACTGCAGGAATTACGAGTACTTTCATACATCCATCCACAGATATATTCGCAGTCGACCTCTATCAACGAATTCAGACTAGATAGGGGCATGCCTACGATTTGTCAGTCTGCAGTCTGCAGTCTGCAAGTGTACTTGACATAAGGTAATTTTTTGACAATGCTGACATCAAATTCGTATTTTTAGTGTCATTTTTCAAAGGTGCGAGTGATTGCACGATTTCAGAGCATTTTACTTCTTGCATAATTTGCAAACACAGTATATTATATTAGATGTTTAGAAAGGCCTTTAGAAAAATATAAGAATAATACGAGAGCGGTTCAATAAATACCTGTGTTATAAATGAAGACACCATTTTTTACAAAAAATATCTTTTTATTTTTCAACATAAGCTGTTTTTAGAAATATACACTTTTCCCAACGGTCCTGCCATTTTTACCCCACCCCCCTCCCCAAAAAAAAATAGGATTTGTCGAACTCTCCAAAATACGCCTGTCTCGGCGATGACTTCCTCGTTTGAGCTAAATTTTTCCCCGCGAGGCATTTCTTCATGTCGGGATACAAGAAAAAGTCGCAGGGGGGCAGATCGGGTGAATACGGGGGGTGCGGCAGCACTTCATAGCGCAATTCATGCAGTTTGGCGGCGACAACTCCGGTTGAATGTGCTGGTGCGGTATCGTGGTGAAACAGCACCTTCTTTTTCGTCAAAAGTGGCCGTATCTCCTTCAATTTTTTATCGAAGCGGTCCAATAACTCACTATAGTATTGTCCAGTGATCGTTCTTCCTCTTTCTAAAAAATTCACGAGGATGACGTAGTTCGCATCCTAAAAAATCATCGCCATAACCTTTCCGGTCGATGGAACCGTCTTCGCCTTCTTTGGAGCAGATTTACCGGGAGAAGTCCATTGTTTTGATTGTTGCTTAGCTTCTGGTCTGTAATGAAACGACGCAAAAATTCCTCCGGATTTCGCCTAAATTGCTCCAAACACTGCTTCGAAGTTCACAGCCGGAACCGCTTGTTGTCCACTGTGAGCAATCGCGGCACCCATCGGGCCGACAATTTTTTCATAGCCAAATTATCATGTAAAATATTGATTGCCGTTCCGGTCGACACGCCTATCGCCTCTGTTACCTCGCGCACTTTCTTTTGTCGATCAGCGAGAATCATGTCGTGGAATTTTTGAATGATTTTCTCGGTAACCACGTCTGCCGGGCGTCCTGGTCGATCCTCATCAAAAACGAAAGTTCGCCTGCGTTTATATTCGTTGAGCCTATATCTAACTGTGGTCATAGATGACGAAGTGTCCCCATAAACAGCATCCATCTTTTCTTTTATCTCCTCGCATTTTTTCCCATCCAAAAACAAAAAGCGAATTACCGAACAACACTGCCCTTTTTCCATCTTAGCGAAAATCACCAAACACGTGTTACTTGAATGGCTGCCAAATCCAAGCTAACCTATCAATCAGTCTGAAATTTGTTGTGCCGTCTTTTGATAGATGACAGCACACGATGATAACATTAATTTCCCTCAGGAACGCCCTCTGTCGTCATACACGGGTACTTATTGAACCGCCCTCGTATAATACACTGTAGTACTTTGCTTGGTTATTTTATCATTGGTCTGGAAAACATTGTCTCAAAAAAGTTCACTGCCACAGCAGGTACATTTTTACACCATCAGGAACGCCTCATTATAGGTTTCTTCTGATATCAGGTTTAATACTGCTTTATTATAATGGTTATCTAATTATAATTACATAGGGAGATATATATTATTTAGCGCTTCAGGCCTGAAGGCCCATGGCTTCTATCTTTTTGACAACTTCTTTCCACGCTCTTCTGTTTTTGGTCTTTTCCTCTCAGTCTGGTATGCCTAGACTTCGTAAAAAACTTTTTTGTCATTCCTATAAGACGACATTCTGTAAATGTGTCCAAAAATTGTTTTGGCACATAATTATACAACACTCTGTGTGCTTCCAAGTAACTCAGTAGCACGCATGTATAGGATGTCAATCTTGCTGCATCAACTGTTTCTGAATATCTTTTATGGTTTCTCTATTAAACTTTTCATTTTCGTTGGGACATCCTGTATGTAATGTATGTGCTCACGTGATTCTTATTATATTGATAAGTCTGCAATAAAGACGATTGAGTTTTCGTAAAACGGCGCATATAAGCTTACCCACAGGGGCTAAAGCATCAATCTTTAGCACCATGTATCTCCGACAGAAAGAATTTCAGGTTTGCTCCTATTTGTATATTCCATGAACTTTTACTAAAGGAATTTTCATTCAAATTGACCAGTGGTCAAATTATGGGCAGAAAACGAAATTAAGGCAAATCGCTCAAACTTTGTTTTTTGATATTTCAGAGGTTCATGATCATTTTCTGAAAAATGTCTGTATGTGTTGGAAATTGGGAGCTGGGGGTTGTAGGAAGTAGATGAGGGTATATCTCAATTTTTCAGGGGTTAATATTTATACAGTTCCAACCCCAGTAGTTAAACGTAGCCGTTAATACATAATTACACATCATAGATTTCCCGGTACATTTACGCTTACATCTTGTGAGAAATATTCTATTAGCCGGCCTGACATGACTGATGTGATTCAGTAACATTCTGGATGGCCGATACTTCCGATAAGGCAGGGAAGAGATTTCTAGCATTGTCGATGGATGGATACTGTGGGCCAATTGTATAGGCCTGTTTGGCTGACATGATAAAAAATTTTTGTTATGCATACAAGTAAAAATGTTCGTATCCAACTTGTTCCTCAGAGTTACTAACTTGTGTGGAACATAATCCTTTTTTAACTGATGACAGCGTTTTTTTAAAGACATCAAGTATATTCATTCCATTGAATCATGTAAGTTCTTGACCTGGCAACGAAACTGTCAAGGTTATGCTTGCCGTTTGATCAAGAACTGTACATTGAGAATTAGCAGGTCCGATTGCCCACTTGTGCCTAGGACTGCTCCAGTAGGTTAAGTCGAGGAAAGATGGCCATGGAGAATCTTTTTATTTCACTGGCTTTCTGATAGGTTGGCGCACATTGTACATTACTGTAGTTAGCTGCATCGAATGGGTCGGTTGTGGTGGCATTGTGGGCAAAAACAAGATAAAAACGTAAGTAAAAGGATAATATAAAATAAGCATAATGCGAAACTTTTGTGTTATGTTAATTAAACTGTAATTCTGACGGAAATACCGTGTATATCGTATTTTTTCTTGCGTAAACGTTCTCGTTACACCTTCTGAATGTAACCTAACCTCACATTTTTATCCACCGGTCGCGTGGCACGGTGGCCACCTATCCTATACAATAAGGAGATATTGTCTTGATGGGAATGTATTCTGAGTTACCCACTTTTGATATATTTTTTTTAGATGCCAAACGTGTATATGCGAAAAAATTTCAATTATCGAAGAAGTTGGACACAGGACAACCTTAAAAATGCTATGGCAGCAGTTAAAGATGGTTTAATGTCCGTTAGAAAAGCTTCTTTATCATTTCAAATTCCTCGCAAGACCTTGGAAAGAACACCAGACTTGGCAGTTCAAGTTGGGACTCAAAACTTATCCGATGCTTCAGATAGAATCTTAGAAAATATTGGTGATGACCAAGTTGATGAGCCAGCTTTGATAAATGAAGACACCGATAATAGTTCAACGGCTATTATAAACCTTGCCGAGAATAACATTCAACCAGAAGGGACTTGTCAAAATCTGGAAACAGAAGTAATCCCTATCAGTAAAATGCTGGCAGATATACCGCCCGTGCCTAGATTAAGGGTTGAAGCTGAAAAAAGACGGTCCAGGTTAGTTGCTTCAGAGTTGACTTGTACATCAAACATTGAGTCTTGTCGGGAGAAGTTCAAAAAGAGAAAAGTAGGATGAGGCGAGGAACAAAAAGAAACCAATAAAAGAAAAACTGATGATAAACCTAAAGTCAGTAGAAACCAAGGAAAGAAAGATTAACAGCAGGTTTACAGAACCTGACGAAGAACCCCTCGCTAACCTTTTGAGCAAAGAAAACAAAAAAATAGAAAAGAGCAACCTGAATGACAACGACATCAGCGTTGTGGACATCTGCTTAGTCTGTCAGGAGTTTGGGAAGAGCGGTGAAACTTGGTATAGGTGTATTTACTGTAGAAAATGGGTTCACAAATTATGCAGCGAGCAAAGTACCCCTGCAAATTTTATTTGTGATTTGTGTTCTTCTAATATTGCAAAGTAAACTGCTCTTACTTTGTAAAAAACATGTATGCGGCACTTTGGGTGGGTTCCCATTTTATTTTTTATCGTTTATGTAAAAATAAAGTGTTGTGTGCATCTAATATGACCTAAGTATTTTATTTTCCTGGGAAAAGATAAATAAAATCTACCTGGCCATTTCTCCTACGGACTGTAGGAGAGATGGCCAAATGCCACTTTTTATGACATGTGATTTTTAAAGGTAATCAACTTACATATGAAGGATTTACTCTATACCAAATTTCAAGTTTGTACTTTCCATCTATCAAACAATATAACCAATAATAAAAAGTATGTCCACCTTTCCTCGACTTACCCTATAGAAAGCCTTATGTTCTAAGTACCCTTGAATTTCGATACCTAAATCACTTGTATTAAATGCGACACAAACCCATTTTGCTCGCCTCCAATAAATCCGCCCTTAATCCCGCGGACAAAAAAGATAATCTGGAACTACACATTTCCATTAGAGTTATACGAACGACTGTCTCTATTCTTTATTCTCCAGATCTCAGAAAGTCTGTCGAGGAGTTTTCCATCTAACGAATCCTATGCATTCGCCGCTACATAAATCCATAAAGAGTCCGTCGTTAGTACATGTAATCCTGGGCATAATATGTGAGATCAGGCTCACCAGCTATCCTGGAAAAACTGTATTGTCGGATTTTACGATAGAATTGTATTCTTGAGGTAACTGATATCGACTGATAGAGATAGAAATAAGTTTGTTAAACTAAAAACAGTAATTTATTCAATTCAGGGTGTACATGAGAACGACAATAACGACAGACTTCTGCTACAACAAATATAGTTCATACTGTCTTTACGATTATCCATATTGAGATGCGTAACACAACGAGTGATACAGAATCTCTCCAGCTTTGCCCTTAGAAAAACATATTGGATGATACACTTTAAACTTCAAGTTTTACAGTCTGTCAAGTGATTCTATGACCAACTTACTGCTTAAGGTAATAACCTCTGATGAAGATTAAAGGTGACGTGGAACCATAAGCTATAGCACCCCAAACCATAACTCCAACAGTGTGATGAACATGTCTTTCAACAAAAAACTGTGGATTCCTCCTTTCACCACGTCGCCTTCTAACCCTGGCACGACCGTCGTGCATGCCTAAACAAAATCGAGACTCGTCACTAAAGACAATACTGTTCCATTCCTGATCCCAGAGTGACCGTTGTCTGCACCACTCAAGGCGATTACGTCGGTGTTCTCGAGTTAAAGGGAGGACCCAGTGTGGCCGATATGAAAACAAGCCAAAACTTCTCATTCGTCGGTAAACGCTTCGCATGCCAATAGGTCTTCCGTGTTCTGCAAACCATTCATTTGCAATGGACCTGGTAGTGGAGAAACGGTCCCTTAAGGCCAATAATCTTAGGCGGCGATCTTCACGGTCTGTTGTTCAACGGCGGCGTCCAGTACCCCTTGCTCTTTGCGTACGGCCTTCTCGAAGTCATGCATGACAACACCTAACCACAGTGTCTACACTTCTTTGCACTCTAACTGCAATTGCCCGAAAAGAAAGTCCAGCTTCCCGAAGTCCCACTATACGGCCCCTATCAAACTCACTAAGTTGACGAAATCGTACAGGTCTCCGTACTCTAGGCATCGTAACCGATCGTAAAGGGTGTCAAGAACCAAAATCCGCCAACGTTGATTCTTTACTGCGGCTGAAATATTCATTTTTAGAGCGTTAGTGAATTAAAAAAAAACAGTATAAAAACCGGAATGTCCAACTGATAAGGCTGAAAATTTTTTCACTTGTTATTTACAGTAAGATGAATACATTCACCAACTTTTATTAAAATAAAACCATTTAAACTGGGTGTTCGGATGTATATGTCACTTAGTATAGGAATCATTTTCATTCATTTTCGATTTCAATTCAACGTTTGCTAGATTTTCGCTCTGAGACGGCATGCTTCCGTCGACATGTTCTAATAAAGTCAGTGTGTTTCCCTCAAAATGAGTATTTTCACCAATTCTTACAATACAAATTCTTTTCCAAACCGTTCTATACCCTTTTTTCCCGAACCAGGGTTCATGTTTTGCTGGTTAGTCTGATCCATAAAGAGTCGGTCGTTAGTGCATGTAATCCTGGGAAAAAGTGGAATCTGACCGTCGTCATCGTTGTTTTGGCGTTGGGGAGCAACGGAGGGGATCGTGGGGGCAATCGATCCGAAGAAATGCTCGCGACAAGGATTCCACGAGATTTATGGACCGAGAAAGCGGCCTGAGGAGATTTAGGACGTGTCAACTGCGTCTGGCGACTTTGTTTGCTGAGCCTTGTTAGAGTGCTTATTGCCGCTGATATAGGCAGTGTTGTCCCGCAGAGAATCGTGGTGATCGATTACTCTGAAACTCGGCATTACCTGTACGTAAGCTTATCCGGTAGCGATTGCTGTAATATAAATTAATCTTTAACCAAATTCCTAAGCCGCCAAAGGCTAGCAGATCTCAAGAAACAGCAGCCTGATAAATCCGTATGGCAGAACTAGAACGCGGTAGCAGCTAGTGGCAACGACGATCGTTATACGTATTTGAGCGTTGTTACCAATTGCACCGACGACCAATTTTGTTCCCGCTAGGTGGCGTTTCTGTGGTCACACTGTAAAAATAGAGAAAAGAAAGATATATGTCATAGAAAGGTAACCTATTTTTACTAAACCTAATCGCATTTTAACGTATGCTGACGTGAACAGCAGATTAGCAGTTGGCTTGTTTTGCTACTTTTAACCATCACCGACAACCTAAATAACACCATCTACTTCTAGCTTTCCAAATAACCCCCTTTGAACAGGATCATTGACTGTCGGTACACACGGTCGTTGAATTGTCACTCCGCAAAAAACATGCGTTTAACATAACATTGATGTAAATGGAAACAGTTCGCCCTATTCACATCCGTCCGATTGAACGCACGTTTTGCAGCGCGACAATAATACAATAACGCATGTGTATATCAATCTCAAGGAAAGTTGGTGCTCTCTACTAAGGTGTGTATGGTATTAAATAGATCCCAAATTCTAGTTGATCATTTCCATACAGCTGCAATTATGGTGGCTCTCACTTTGCTTTGTCTCATCTGGACCTTAAAACTTCACTGATATTCACTAAAACTATCCTTCTATTTCCATGTGGAAGTGTCAAAAAGATATTAATAGTATTTCTCGGATCATGAAATTCTTCTGGGTAGCATCAGCAATATCAAACGGGCACACCCGTAATTTTAGTGGCCGCTGTTATCGGTAGTAAGTCATTGCATAACATAAATTTCGGTTCTTCATCGAAATGTAGGGTCAGCGAACTAGAGATGATCCGACTAACTGACAACAGATCCGAACGTTGTATTAGACGTTTATAAAATATATATCCGCTATTTAAGTCGATTTCATCTTTACGAGCTAAACATCTTTGCATTAAAGAAAAATGGAGATTTCCGTCTCAGCTCTCTCTCTCTCTGACCAGTCTTTTGAGTTCATTTAGCGTCCATCACCTCATCTGTTGCCGTTCTTCTCCATGCCAGCCTAGGTCCTAACTATATTTGTGTTACTCGGGGTTCCAACCAAGGGTCATTCTATCTGCTGATTTATAATAATAATAATATTTATTCCAAATCTAGAATGACAAATACATAATACGTACAAATGACATCTATGTGGAACTAACGTCATACCCAAGCAAAAAACTAAAACGAAGCATTCATGTACACAGAAATATTGTATGGTTCCAGCTGACCTAAAACGTGATTTAAGTTTTTTTCCAAGGCTCCTGTACCTTCCATCGCTTTCAAATAATTGAGTAGTTTATTATACAACTTGCGCACATACGAAAGGAGCTTATTTCAGTTGCTGAGTTAGCAAAGCATTCAGAGCTATTGTCCGTAAGTGTGATTATTTTCCTTGGGAAAATTGATTCTTTTTTTCACTGTGAACATAACACAATCAAGAATGTAAGGTGCATACAGTGTCATTAAGCCCATACACTTAAATACGCCTCTACATGTTTCATCATATGTCTCATTGCGCTTGTGATCCTTTTTTGAATAACAAATAATTTTTGCAGGTCTGCCTTCAATCAGTATTATTTTATAAGTAATTCATATAACTAGACAACACTCTTATTCCGGAGCTGATTCTACTGTTTCATAGCAGCTTCATCTATGTGTGGAGTCCAGGGCAGAAATTCATCTAAATGTATTCCTAACACTTTGATGACTTACTTGGATGTTACTATTAGAAAGTGTGATATTTTGTGGTATATCAATCTGTAATTGCTATTTTCTAAATATACTAAGTGACATATAAATCCGAACACCCAGTTTAAATGGTTTTATTTTAATAAAATTTTGTATAAGCACTTAATGAAGCATAATAAGTAAATGATAAAAATTTCAAAATGATTGGACTGCTTTAGAGCCCTTTGACCTTTAATAATGTGTGGATGCACCCTGATGTGCTACGCATTCTCCAACGCGCCTAGGCATGCTTCTGATCAGGTGGTCAATGTCCTACTGTGGTATCTCATTCCAGGCAACCACCAACTCCTCTCGAAGTGCTTCTAGAGTCTGAGGAGGACGTTGCAAATTGAGCAATCTCCTACCCATCATATCCCACGCGTGCTCAATTGGGGATAAGTCGGGAGATCTTGGTGGCCATGGTAACAATGTGACATCATTATGTTGAAAGAAGTCTATTGTGACTCTTGCAACATGTGGTCGGGCATTATCTTGTTGGAAAGTTGGATCTGCCAGGGTGTCAAGATAGGGTAAAAGATGGGGTTCTAGAACTTCGTGGATATAACGCTGCGCGTTCATGTTACCTCTGATGAAGATTAAAGGTGACCTGGAACCATAAG